AAAGTGGGGCTGGATACTTCAACAGCCCCAGGCCTGCCGGAGCAGCCAGGGCTTAGTAGCTTTACGGAAGGCCGGGAGAGTAGTAATAGTAATGTAGCTTCCTCCACACAAATTCAGAAATGGATATTAAGATAAATTAAGTGGATCATTTAATACGACCAACTTTACCCAGTTAAAGTAGGATCTCAAATTACCTGAAATGACAACCCTGGACACCACGCACTGACATGATACCCTCAGGATATGCTGTACCCCCAAAAAATCAGCTCCCAGAAAAAGGGTTATTGTAAAGCAGCTAAAATGTAGGGTTAGTCCTGAATCAACTCAGATCATCTCAAGAATCTCTGCGGTGTTTGAACATGTTCATTTATTTCTTGTAAGATTTCCAGGAATCTTAGCAATTCTGTTGGAACAAGGTAACCTTAAAAAAAAAAAACAGATTTTTTTTTTCAAATTAGTACCAGTAAGCCAACAAAAGTTTTGCCAAGTCCAGGGAAGTTTTGCCATTATATTTAAAATTAATTGAGTTTGTGTACAGCATTAAAATCATTCATTATCTATAGCGAGTAAGGTAATGTATTCCGTCTTGATGTTTAACCCAAGTAGCAGTTAATCAGAAAGCAGACATTCGGATTAAAACAAGGGTGTTTTTTTTCCCCTTCTCTCTGCAGGGCAATTTTTGAAGACTTAGCCTGTGTCCAAGAATTACAAATTGTGGTCAGAATAATATGCGAACAGGTAATCCCATCCCACTTTTTGTTTATTCTAACATTAAGTTATATCTATTTGGAATAACGTACACTTTGCATAGCTGGATGTTCACATATTTTAATTGTTTTGAAGGCTGGTCAGAATGTGATGCTAATAATAATCTTTAGAGAATTCAAAGTACTTTATAGACTGGATAAACTCAAATATATTCAAATTATGATTTGGTGGATACAGGCGTGTGTTGTTTATATTGGTTTTCTCATTACATATGGCAGTGGTTCCCAAACTTGGCAACTTTAAGACTTGTGGACTTCAACTCCCAGAATTCTCCAGCCAGAGCTGGCTGGAGAATTCTGGGAGTTGAA